ATTGTTGTGATTACATGGATTAACCCAGTCGGTGTCATCAAGTGACGATGTTAAGCCCCAAGCACATATTACAACACTATACACTGGCAAGTGTACTTCTTTCTCATCTACTGTTATTCTCGGGAAGAATTTTGCATTTAAAACCCTAATTTCTCTTAGAGCTATAGATAATCCACTGTTCTTCTCGAGTCCCAAGAATCATTGTGAGTTGATGGCGACATCGATTATGAAGAACGAGAATCTTATTGAGGCCATAGATGACGGTGAAATCGTTGACATTGTGGTGAAGGATGAGGTTGTTGTTGATGATAAAAAAACAACATCACCATATTGTTTGTGGTTTACTTGCAGGTGTTAATGATCATAAGTGGCGTCATGATGTTGTTGGCCATCCACCTTCTTCTTTACGCTCTCCTTACATTCTTCATTTCAATCTAGAAAAAGTATAAAAAACAAATTTTATTTGTCTATGTTATAATGTGATATGTATCAGTAGCACATCGAGATTGTTGGCTGACAAGAAAGAGGATTTAGAAATAAAAGAGGAACGAGTTGACTTGATGGATGATGAAGGTTTTGAAGAACAAAACAGGGCTTCTGAACTGAAGCAGAGGCAAGCAGGGTGTCCGAATGAAGAAGAAGATATGTAGGAAAAGAGGTTGGAAATGGCATAATGGGACCACTATGGCTGCTATTAAATCTGAAAAAAGTCCTTACACATACAGAAAACATGAAACTTCTAACTCGAGCTTGAATGATGGTTTAAAGTTGAAGTATTATTCCAAGAACCTGAAGAAGAGGCGAAACAAGGTCTTTCTCCCTCGATGTCGCTGATTCCCTTTCATTTTGTCCAAAGTGACTAATTAGACCCGGCAAAAACAACTTTATTTTCTCATAATGCACGAAAATAAGTTAAAGGATTGAATGAGTAAATTTGAAATACATTGTTGAGATAATATGCAATTTTTCCTTTGTTAAAGTGTATATGTTACTTTTTTTATAAAACTTAAGTTAGTTCTTTATTAAACTACATATATGATTTATTATTTTATTTTGTTGTTTGTTAATTATTAGTTGACTTTGCAAGGTAGGTAGTATATGACAACATGAAAAAACAATTTACTATTGATGGGTATATTGGAGAAAATCATCAAAAACCACATAAGAATATTTTGGTTAGAAACAATTTCACGGTGTTCTTAGAACTAATCTAAAAACATCAAAAACCACTCAAGAATATTTTGAACCAAATTAAATTTGTTTATGGGTTATGTTTTGAAGTTTTTAATTTCGGCCCCGACTTTCAATGCTCATATTCCGCCCCCGCTTTCTAATGTTTGACAAGGCCCACGAGTCAATGGATAGACCGAGATAGTAAATGGGAAAGAACTCAAGAAGGAGGGCTGGCACCAAGCATGCTAGAGCCAGTGGCAAGTCTAGGACAACAACATACACGGGTCGCTATTTAAGTGAACCCGATAGAAATGACATAGCTAAAAAAATACTAGTAATGGGTAGATTCATATAAACAAATTTTTTAAAGATATTACAATTGCACCCTAAAAGTTCTAATATCTTGATATATGTCCACAATTGTATCATTACTAATACTATCTAAAACACTTTTTCAATATATATCACTAAAATATCCACTAAGTTGGGAAACAAAAACAATCAAATAAAACTATATTAATTTCACGATTGATCGAATCAAAGACAATCCATATTAAAACATACCGCATGAAGTGATGAAACCTATCACACAAAACCAATTGTTCAGAAGTCAAAATAAATGTTCTTATCATTGGTGTCAAGATTAGATATTACATATTAAATTGATTATGTCTTGAACTTTTGATTTCTTTATATTTATTTGTAATTATGATGAAGATTCGAAGAAGTGTAAAACCGTATAAAATCATTATCAATCACAAGTTCACAATTGAGAACCTTCAAAGTTAAAACTCGATGAAGAAAGCAATGTGGATTGCAGGTCGAGACTAATGTGAATGTGAGGTTGTTGATGACTGGAGTGAGGCGAACAAGCGGCTTGATCGAGTGATCAATAGGAGTGGTCAATAGGAGTGACTTCTGTCTTCGGTGGTTCCTTACTATTTGTGTGATTGCATCATACGTATTTGCTACAAATGAACGGACAATTCACATTCAGTTTGTATTTTTTTTATTTATTTAATTTTAAAGGTATTTGGTTAATTTTTAGTAGACATTATTTGAAATAAACTAAAATTAAACCATTGAAATACAAAAAAGATGGACTAAAAGTCCATGACAAATAAATTAAAGTGGGTCATTTACCAATTTCAAGCTAAGTCTTAATTTTTTTTATTAATTAGTTGTAACACAATTTTTTTTTCTTAGGTGGGTCAAGTGACACACGTTCGATTGCAATAGCCTCGCCACTAGCTAGAGCCGAAACCATGGAGGTGATGAAAGCCCACTCGAGTCCTCAATGTTGAGTCCATATACCTTACTCTTGGAGAAATTGATTTCGAAAGGAGAGGCAAGTGGCCATGGAGCTGATGAAAGCCCACTCAAGTCCTCAACGTTGACTCCTTATACCTTACTCTTGGAGAAATTGATTTCGAAAGGAGAGGCAAGTGGCACATGTCATATGGGTTATGTGGTGATTTTTGTTTATCTATGTTGATGTATATGTTTGCGATGTGCATAACCAATATTATTATTATTATTATTATTATTATTATTATTATTATTATTATTATTATTAGGGGAGGGGCCGGTGGTATTTATTTTAAAAATAAAATAGGCATTTATATATGATTGAAAATAATCAAAATACTGATAAATAAATATTAACATGCCTAGGATGCAAATTTTATAAATATAAAATTAAAAGACTTTGACGGTAAAAAAAATAACGATAATCATTGTTAATTATAAAACTACGTTTAAAAATAAAATAAACATTAATATGGGATTGAAGTTGGTCATTATTGTAAAAATCAACATTAAATTGTTTAGGCTGAGGGGAGTGGTGCTTGACGGCAGGTGCAATCCTTAGAGCCTTGACACATCATGGCGGAGCCATGAAGAGTTTTTTAGAACCTTGATAAATATCCACCAAGTTTGGCCACCGAACTTGGCATGCTGAGTTCGTGGCCCAATGGTCACCCGAGCCCACGTTGGATTCGCCGACGGATGCCGACTAACACTCCGTGAAGTCTTAGAAGTCATCTTTATAAATATAAAATTAAAAGAATTTAAAAGTAAATGACTATGATGAAACGAAATCACGTTTAAATTAATCATCAAGTTATGGAAATTTAAAGTAGAAACGAATTGAAGGAAGGAGAGTGGAATTGTTGATATGTCATTGTATACATGAAACTTGGAAGGCCCGCATCCAAAATGGATTGGATGCCAACTTTTTCTTTCTTTTTGTGGGTGAATTTGATGTTATGCCAACTTGCTTACTGCTTTATCCCATTTCTAAAAATGCCACGCTTTTCCTTTCTAAACAAATATAATATTTTTTAGTTTTACTTTTACTTTCTTACAAAATAAATACCACAAATTTATGAATATTAATTAAAGCTTATATTTCTATCCACCAATATTCACTGTCAAAATAACATTGATTTCTCTGATAATTTTTATAATTTATAAATATAATATCTATTTAACCCGAAGAAAAAACATATGCGTAGTATCGAAGAAAAAAAAAAAAAAAAAAAAGCAATGAGAGGATGACACCCCACCCGCACCGGTCCACCAGGAAATTAAAGGAAAAGGTACAACAACAACATCATAAGTCCTCTCACCCACACAACTTCCATTACAATTTATAAACCTTTTCCCTTTTCTTTTTCAATTTTCTATATCCAAATACAACTTTCGAATGCATTAACTTTAATACAAAAATACATTCACCTTTTCATCTTCCTCCAAACACAAATCTAAACCTATTTGTGACACTTGTTTCAGCATAAAAAATCAGGTAAAATGCTTGTTTATTAAATTATACTTCAAAACTAGGGAATCCATCTATAAAACCAATAAATTTGGGGTTTGGCCATTAATAGAATAAAAATGCTATAAATCTTTGTTGTCATGTTATGAATTTATCTCTTCCCTTATCATCCTAAATTTAAATTCCTTGCTCAATTTCATTTTTCCTAATACAGTCCAACAAATTCCAAAGCAAGCCAAGCGGTAATGTCATTTTGCGTAAAAAAAGAATTCTTAAAATAGAAATAGCAATAAATACAAGTAAGTAAGGCCTTCCTTCTTTCATATGATACACTTAACTTATTGTAGAATTAAACAAAAGCAATATATATATATATATATATATATATATATATATATATATATATATATATATATATATATATATATATATATATATATATATATATATATATATATATATATATATATATATATATATATATATATATGATGTATGGATCTATACAAAGACTTGGACTCAACAAAAATATGTTTGTTGAAGCCTCGATATCTCTAGAATTTGGTTGTAAAATTTGTAATAATAATAATAATTTTTATTTGTTGATTGTGTCAAAAGCGTGTTTGAAATAACAGAGTGTAAGGGTTGGTTCCTATCTGTGTTGCTGACATATTATTCCAATTATCCACCTCACCGATCTCATATCATCATTCGCTATTTCCGGTTTCACAACGTAAAACCCTTCTTCTGAAGCAATCCAACCACCGTCTTCAATTCATGTGTTCTCATTCATATCAACAACAACAACAACAACACAAATAACCTTATAATATTAATTAATTAATTAAACGTCATATTATGTATTTACACTTTCCATATCCGTCTCTTTCTTTCTCTTTTTTTTTTTCTCACATCCAAAAAAAAAAAAAATTACAAATCATATGGTATACAATCAAACATAGTTGCATCCGCTAGCTAAAACTTAAGATCAACAACAATCTTCATATATAAGTGTGGATCGATCGATCATGATCAAACTGCAACCGGATCAAGCTTTGAAGCACCAGATATGGTGGTGGTGGTGGTGATGGTGGTGGTGGTGATGTTGGTAGTTGTAAAAGAAATCGTCTTTCTTGATCAACCCTTCAACATTGCAGAACTGTTGAACGTCACAAGGTATGTTGATGGGTCCACGGTGATCAAAACCGTATTCTTCCTCAGCCTCCTTCAAGAGCTCCATGAAAAGCGGATGATAGATGTAGATTACAGGTATGACGAACCTCTTTTGCTCTTCTCCTTCATGACCCACCATTACAGCCATACATCCCTTTGGTATAGGAGTACTGCTATTCATATTCTGATCTTTCTTCATGGACTCCGACTCCTCTTGATTACGATGATGATGATGATGATGATGATGATGATGATGCAGATGTAGATGAAAACTCAAAAAATGCTTATCTCCACTACCCATCAAAATTTCCAAAACCAAACGACTAAACAATTGACAACTACAAACAAAAAGCGAAAAATGAATTGAGTATGGATGAGGCCGGGGTTAGGAAGAAAGGATAGAGAAAGGCCAAGGATCAGAAGCGGAAATCGCAAGCAAGAAGCTCGTCAAGCAAGAGTCTGTTAAAGATCTTGGAATGTTGCTCATGGCAGCATATATATGTATATATGATCTCAAAAGAGTTTCTAGCTTTTCTTGTTGGTTTTGTTGATGAAGAGCGGAATTTGAAGGAAGAGTGGGTGGGTATATATAGAGGGTATAAGCTAAGTCAGGGGCAAGAAAGTAAAAGTACGTAGTAGAAGGGGGTGGGAACTGGGATATGGGAAGGTAGATTCTGGACCTGCTGGTGTCTTTAATCATACGCAAAGAGACGGATGATCTGAAACCGTCATAACTTGGGGTGGTGGGTTGATTAATAAATCGGATATATATATATATATATATATATATATATATATATATATATATATATATATATATATATATATATATATATATATATATATATATATATATATATATATATATATATATATAATTGTTAGTCAAAATATGATTTTGTTTGCCAACTGCGAATTTATTAATTGGTAAAATGTTGATCAAGACTTGGTTGACACTTGACAAAGTAAATACCCTTACAACTCATTTTTTGCTTGTGTTTATTTGTAACCTTTAAGTCTTATAAAATGCCCCAACTGCAAATTTATTAATTGGTAAAATATTGATCAACACTTGGTTGGCACTTGACAAAGTAAATACCCTTACAACTCAATTTTTGCTTGTGAGACAAGTCGGTGTTCTAGTATTTTTCAGACGAATCAAGAAGATGGTGGAACAAGTAATAATCTACCAGGAGTCCCTAAAACGACCTAGAATTCTCTAGGATACAAAAGTGTAGCATAGAATTATGTAGAACTTTGTATATAGATAATGATCTTGAAAGAACGGTCTAGAATACTTAGAAATATACGAAACCTAGAAACTTCCCTTTGATGAGGTGTATGTTGCCTACAAATAGGGGAAGGATTCATTTGTCCAAACAATCGAGAAGTTCTCCTGTAAGAAGTTAAGTTGTATAAAGAAGCTCTCTTTCTTAAAAGTGTTTATTGTCGTTTCTCTTGTTTCCATAAATCGTTAGTACATCTAAGCCATTGAAGTTATAATGACTTAGTTGGAGAAAACACTAAGTGGTGCATGGTGATTGAACCATCCCGTGGCTCGTGGTATCAGAGCCCAGAGTTTTTGCAAACAAGGGAACGTGACTATGGAAGGAGGAAGTAGTGAAGTAGCAAACGTGCCTCCTTATCGTCGAGGAGAAAGGAAGAAAGTCCAAGAAGAGGGACCAATCGATAGATGCCTTGACAATCTTAGAAAACAAGCTTACAAGGATAGCGATTAACTTCGGTGAGATCCTTGAATGGAAGGATACTGTCAGTCAATTCGTTGTAGAGATAAGTGACACGAGCGATGGATTGAAGGAGATCATTGGTGTCATCAAGGAAGAAGTCCTTGGACTTGTCAACACCTTACAAAACGACTTTCATGAGAAGATAGGTGCCTTAGAAGCTGAAGTAAATATGTGCAAAGCCGCAATTGCTGGAGGAGCTGTTACAGAGATGATGCCACACATCGATGCACCTAAATCCTTGAAGTACGGAAGTAAGCATGACCCCAAACTTCTTGAAGAATTTTTCTGGTTCGTAGAATGTTATTTCAATGCAATCAGGGTAAAGGACAATAAGTCTAAGATAGACACGGCCGTCCTATACCTATGTGAGAACGCCACCCTATGGTAGAGGCGGAAGCATAGCGACATAGAAAAAGGGCTATACACCATAGAGACTTGGGATGAGTTCAAAAGGCAACTCAAGAAGTAGTTTTGTCCCCATAACGCCGAAGATGTAGTGATTAAGAAGCTTCGGGGATTGAAACATGTGGGGTCGATTAAAGATTATGTGGCAAAATTTACTTCTTTAATGCTTGAGTTACCTGATTTACAAGAGAAAAACAAGTTATTTTATTTCCAAGATGGACTATAATCTTAGGCTTATAACGAACTCAAGCGAAGGAATGTCCAAGATGTTGATGAAGCTATTGCTGTAGCGGAAGACCTTATGGTCTTCCGAAGAGATGCTCCGACTAGGAGGACTAGTAGGGGAGATAAAGTTGCATAATGGTCATCACCAAAGGAAGATAGACCTGCTGTCAAACCCTCAACTTTCAAAGGAGGAACTCGTAAGGAGGTGAAGTGCTATTTATGTGACGGTACCTACCTAATAAGAGATTGTCCTAAGAAGAAAATCTTCAATGTCATGGTCTTTGAAGATGAAAATGAAGAAAGGGATGAAGCACAACTAAGCTCGATGCGTTTTCTCAACTCGATGGCCAAGGAAGAGACAAAACCTGGCCTCATGTTTGTGACAACAAAAGTAAACGGAGAAACCACGAGAGCCCTAGTTGATACAGGTGTGTCTAACAACTTTCTTGTGAAGACGAAGCAAAGAAAATAAATATTCAATATATGATAGAGAAAGGATGGTTGAAAACAGTAAACTCTCCATCCGAGCTAATCCTTAGAGTCGACCATAATGTACCTATCGAGATAAGAGAATGGAAAGGCACCATAGAATTAAAAGTAGTCCCTATAGACGATTATCATATGGTGATAGGAATGGAGTTTCTAGAAGAAGTACACCCTTTTTCTTTTGAAGATCAAACCATATGTCTCACCAAGGGCTCTACGATTCACATCGTACCCTTGGAAAGAAGTAAGATGGAATCTCAAATCATCTCCGCCATGTAATTAAATAAAGGACTTCGGAAGGGCAAAACGACGTTCTTAGCCACATAAAAAGAAGAAGCTAAACTCTCCAAGTTGGAAGTTCCAAAGGAAATCAAGAAGGTGTTAGAAGAGTTCAAAGACAAATGCCGCCGGAGTTGCCAAAGAAGTTACCACCAAGAAGGGAGGTCGACCACGATATAGAACTTGAACCCGGAGCTAAGCCACCAACGATGTGTCCTTATAGAATGGTTGCACCGGAGTTAGAAGAATTAAGGAGACAGTTAAAAGAGTTACTAGACGCTGGGTTCATTAGACCTTCCAAAGCCTCGTTTGGTGCACCAGTGTTATTCCAAAAGAAGCATGACTGTAGCTTGAGAATGTGCATCGACTACTGAAAACTAAATAAGGTAACTGTGAAAAACAAATACCCCATACCTTTGGTAGCCGATCTATTTCATCGACTAGTAAAGGCACGATGATTTTCAAAGTTAGATATTCGATCAGGATATTAGCAAGTGCATATAGCAGCTGGAGACGAACCGAAGACGACGTGCGTGACAAGGTACAAATCATTTGAGTTCTTAATAATGCCTTTTGGTTTAACCAACGCACCTGCCATATTTTGCACCTTGATGAATAAGAGACTCCACCCATTCTTGGATAAATTTGTGGTGGTGTACTTGGATGACATCGTAGTGTACTCAGAGTCACTAGAGGATCATGTTGAACACCTACGCTCGGTTTTCCAAGTACTTAAGGAAAACCAACTATATGTAAAAGTAGAGAAGTGTTCCTTCACCCAACTGGAAGTATCATTTTTAGGGCATAAAATTACGAATGTGAATATTCACATGGACAAAGACAAAGTGCGCACTATCAAAGAATGGGAAGCACCAAATAACATGTATGAGCTACGATCATTCTTAGGATTTATTAATTATCATCGAAGGATCATATCCAACTACTCGGCTAGAGAAACACCGTTGACAGAGCTCCTAAAGAAAAAAACGACCTAGCAGTGGACGGAAAAGTGCCAAACGGCCTTCGATGACCTGAAGAAAGTTGTCATGGAAGAGCCAATCTTGAAGCTACCAGATTATTCCAAACAATTCAAAGTACAAATTGATGCTTCTGACTTTGCTATCAGAGGGGTATTAATATAGGATGATCACCATGTGGCATATGAAAGTCAAAAACTAAATGCGACGGAACGAAGATATCCAGTGTACGACAAGGAGATGACAACCATTATTCATTGTCTTCGTGTATGTAGACATTACTTACTTGGAAGTTGATTCGTAATCCAAACAAACAATGTTGCCACATGTTACTTTCAAAATTAGAAGAAGCTTAGTCCCAAACAAGCTCGATGGCAAGATTAGCTGGCTGAATTTGACTACATCATGGAGTACAATCCAACGAAGATAAATGTGATCGCGGATGCACTAAGTCGCAAAGCGGAATTTGCAAACATCACCAGAATAACCTGCGATCTTTCTGACCGAATTAGAGAAGGATTAAGTCACAATCCAATAACCAAGAGTTTGATGGAAATGGATACGCAAGGGAAAACCAGGAAGTTCTGGGTTGAAGACGAACTTCTAATCACATTCGGAAATCATACGTATGTTCCCATGTGGAATAACTTAAGGAGGGAAGTCTTAAGAGAATATCACTACTCAAAGTGGGTAGGGCATCCAGGGACAAATCGAACCAAGGCCATCATAGAACAAAGTTACTATTGTCCAAGAATGCGAGATGATGTTGACGCTTACGTACGAACTTGCCTTATATGTCAGCAACACAAGGTTGAGCAAAGCAAGCCAGCCGACTTGTTAGAACTACTATCGATCGCCGAACATCCTTGGGAAATCATTACAATGGATTTCATCTCGGCTCTACCCACATCAGAAGGATGCGACTCGATAATGGTGATTGTAGATCGCTTCTCAAAGTATGAGACTTTCATTGCTACTCCACGAGATTGCACCGCCGAGGAAGCCAGTCGGTTATTTTTCAAGCACGTAGTAAAGTATTGAGGACTTCCTTGTAGCATTATCAGTGATCAAGACCCGAG